ATCTCCCATCATCCAATTTCATTAGACGACCCTGGGTTCTAGCGAAAGACAGACATATCTCTATCCACTTAGTGCATGCTTTATATGCCCCTTTCATCTCCCTTCCCTTACTCACCATTTTTCCTATGAAAAAAGCCCCAACCATGAGCTTTCCTTATAAGGAAGGTGTTCTGGTCCCTTGACCATTTTTCTGAATCTTCTTCAGTGCTACATAAACTTCTTGGGGTGCAGTTACCAGACATGTGCACAGAATTCCAAATGTGGACATTCCACTGATTTGTATAAAGGGGAGGTCATGGCTCAGCGGTGGAGTGAGTCCCTGGCATCTCCAGGTGTGACACAAAAAGCTTTGCCAAAATCTTGAAAAGCTGCTGCTAGTCAGTTCTGGATCGCTCAGGATAAACTGGCTTGCGTTTAAGCTCCTACATTGTCTCAAAGACATTGTGTATATTGTATAAATATATTCCTATGGCAGCTCTTTGTAGGTTCTAGTCCAAGTTACTTTGAGCTGAATTAAGGAATGAAATTCATTCCTTGCTGATTAAGGAATGAAACACCCTGAGCCTTTGAACCTTGGAGACATACTGGGGACTTAAGGCTGAGTCCCACGTAAGATGTGAAGGCAAATGCTATCATGGTTCTGCTTGTGAAGTTTGGCTATTCTGACTGCCTAATTTGGACAAGAGACTGGCTGTGTCATGAGCTGTCGTTCTTCCTTTCAGCAGACAAAAGTCACAGCTTTTCTTGCAAAACGTCCTTGATTGCTTCCAAGTCCAATTCACCCAGAACAGATCTCTGAGCATTCACAGAGCGGTTTGTTGAACCCAGTCTAGCATTTACCTCTAGGAACTCTCTTTGCAAACATGCCTGGGACCCATCGCCTCAGAATGGGCTTCTGAAGGTGAGCACACCTCCTCTTCGCATGCTGCTCATTCAGCTGGGCCTCCTATTTTTGCTGACCCCTTGTTGTGAGAGAGATGGCGGCAGGGAGGGGGCACTTGCCTACATCTGAGAATTCCTCATCCTCAGAGACCCCCCCTTCCCTGGCTATAGCATCATGATTGTTCTCAGAGATTCCCTGTCTTGGTAAAGTGCTTGGCCTTGAGATAGACACCTACATCTCCTCCTTCATCTCATAATTTTGACCTGGCCCATTCTCCCCAATTCCACTTAATCCGCTTCCCTTTCTGATTCCAAAGAATAGCCTGGGATGCAGCCAGCAGTCCGTGAGAACAATTGTCCAAGACTTTAATCCTTCTTGCTCCCAACAGGCCGGACATCCTGTAGGAGCTACTCTGATCTCTTTAAAGGAAGCACAAGGTCTAAGTGGAATGACTGTACGGGGTGAACTGCATGGAATGCTTCTGATCAGGAAGTGATCAAAAAGTGCCTTGCTGTGGAGACATTCCCTCTGTTTAGCCCTCACTGCCATAGCTGAGCGTAGCTGGTTCAAAGGTTTTACATCCAGATCTTCATCCTCACCTGTGAGGTCACACTGTGCAGGTACAGCCCTACCTGAGAACTGGAATTCTCTCCTTAGATGGACTCTAATTCACACATTAACACATAAGGTGCTCTCAGCATTTTTCTGGGCAGCAGCCAGGTTGGTCAGAGCTGCTAACTAGATACCAGCAAATGAGCTTTCTTACCGTACAGCACCTTGCAGCAATAATGTAACCCACCTTCAGAGTACAAGAGGGAAAGTAGAAATGACCTTTTATAGAATATAGTTTCCATATATTGATTTCTGATACTTAGAAGAATACACAACAATTTTCTAGGACGCTAGGAACTTTGTGGCACGATCTTTAAGGAGGAAAGTTTTATCAGAGCACCCTTCTTGCATCAAGCAGAGATACTGATTGATCAGAAAGACTGCAAAGAAATTGTTATTGTCTGTCTTGCTTTTGCAAAAAGTCTGTTAAAAATCTTGGGACGTGCTGGCTCCATAGGCTGAATCTATAGCAATGTAAGTCTGCATGAACTTACGTAGCTAGAGTCATAGACATTAGCCTGTTCGGGCCACTGAGTCAAGGGAAGTCCAAGCAAATGACTCTGCTGGAACTTCCAAACTGCATGAGTCAGTCAAACGGGAAGATAAGCTTCAAAATATCCATACACGATACCTTCTTGCACCTTTGAAAACGACAATGGCATCTGTGTGCACTTTCTCACAGATTCCGCGGTATCACCTTGAAATGTTCCTTCAGACTCATCCTCGGGAAACACATGCCTTGTTTAGCATCCTACAGCAAGCTGTGCCCTCCAACCTTGGTTGCTCCACCAACGTAAACAGTCAATGTGAAAAGAAGATCACCCAATAACAAGAGCGCCCGATTGCAATGTCGGCCACTGTGTTGCTCTTTGTTTGTCCTTGCTCTGTTTGTTATCCTAGCCAGCCTGGTAGTACATAGCATTTCAGCGGGAAGTATCTTCACCAGAGGTGCGCTCTTCTGTTGACTTCCTTGTCCTTGAAGTAAAAACTTCATACACTTTGCTGATACGTATCCCCACACGCCTGTGCATTCATGTGTCGGCCATTGCACGGCCTTGCCATCACCTTGGCCTACAGGTGCTCCAAGCAGGGGGGAATTGGCGGGTCTGTCACATGTTTCTCCCCCACATGCTGGTTCTTCTCAACAGAAGCAGCTTGGTTCAGTCCGAAGTGGCCACTCATAACTTCCCTCCACTTCCCAGTGGAATGTTTTGTTTTTTTGCCACTATGAGCATTGCTCTGCCACCCCGTGGTTCATGGGTCTTATCAACCCATATGCATCTTCTTTTGTTTCTTTCTCAAGCATTTCAGCTTAGAGTTAGCTCACGCTTTGGGTGGGTTTCACAACTTAAAAAGCCACAACAGTTTCTTCCTCAGAATGGTCTTTGTTATCCAAACCTCTTGTAGTATTTCAGCGTGGTATGTTTGGGTTTCAGAAACCATGATAAAAAACAATGGCCTGTTCAGTGGTTTCCATGTTTCACCGTGGTTTCTTGGGTCACCCAAACCCGCAATCATGGTCTCCATGGTCCTGGTATGCAGCTGTTGCAGCATCCCCTGGAAGGAGCAGCCACTGCTGCAGAAGCTGCTCCAGCTCATCCCGTTTGAGATTGAATTTCATTCACAGAGGCTGGTGGGATAAGTGCTGTTAGAAGGAGGACTGAGTAGGGAGGTGGAAAGCACACTCGCATAAAGACCATTTAATTGTCTGTCGGGCACATCCAGGCAAAAACTGGAATTACTAGCTGCCTGCTCGGGGGCCACATAGGATTTTTTTTAGTGAACTGATTCACCCTGGAAGCACCGTTTTCACCTACTTTTGACTGATAGGCTAGGAAAGGATGCATTTTATTTTTTATTTATTTATTAAAACATTTCTATGCCGCCCCATTCGCCGAAGCCTCGGGGCGGCTCACAACATAAAATATAATACATAAAACAAATTAACAATATAAAATTCAATTTGCTAGTTTGCTTTGTCGGTCATATCTTGGCAGGGAGTGTGGGCATGGGGTGCATTAATGGGCTGCTCTGCTGAGCACCCTGATGCACCAGGAGAGGGAGGGGTCCCAAGCATACCCTGCTCCTTACTGCCACTAACTCAAGGGGGTGGACGAAGGGAATGGCCCTCTTGGCTGCAGGAACTGAGCACCCCTTTGAACTGCTGTCATGGTGGGCGGATGATGAACATCTCAGACTGGCATTTGAGCGACTCCGTGGCTTAGAGGCACGGTGGGACCACCCGGAAGAGATCAGAGTAGGTAAATCGAAGCCCCGGACTAAAAGGGTATCCACTGATCGATGACGGTGTGCCTCTTCTTGAGCTTGTTGCAGTAATGCTGTGGTTCTTACCCGGTTTCTTGGCTCGTCTCGTGAAGTCCTGGAGAGACACTCAGATTGTACTGAGCCAGGCAGAACATGGTTCTCTCTCCATACAAGGCAGGACTACTGGGACCACCTTGTGTTTGAAGCATTGTTGGTCTAAGGACAAGGTTGGCGCTGTCCTAGTTTCACCCAGAGAGACTGAGGCACATCAGCACAGGTGCACGTCCATTTGTGCGTGCACGCACACACTCCAGCTGGAGAGGCTCAGTTGTCGTGTGACTGCATCGTGCAACCGCATTGCAATGGTTCCTGTACCCTCAGGCTGTGCAGAAGTCCTTGGCCATGGCTGTGATTGCAGTGGGAACATCCAGTGCTGCACAGGGGACACCCTTTGATCAGTGCTCCGAAACTGCCACCAGTTCAGAATGTGACCCCCAGATTGTTAACACGGAGGGGCTGCTAGGAATGTGCGATTCTGCTTGCACACTGCCCTCACTGGATTCCAGCTCTGGGCCACTCACCGTCTCTCAGCCCGGCCTCATAAAGTTGTTCTTAGGATCACATGGAGTGGAGGAGGACAAAGTAACCTACCCTAGGGGGAAATAGATGAGATACAAATGTAGTATAATAATACATTACAGTAGGAGGAGGAGGAGGAGGAGGAGGGTGGTGGTGGTAGTGGTGGTGGTGGTGATGATGATGATGATGATGATAGAAGCTTCAATAGGTGGACGTTTCCCCTTTCTTTCATAATAAGTTATACCTACAAGGTTCTCCTGATCTTGCATAGTTAATTTCCTGGTTTGGTAACATAACAAAACTAGGAAGCTGATCTGATCTTTGGAACATCTAACCTGGTAGTTTGAGCACTGACTGGCGGAGTTTCTGCAGGGTGTTAAGCTGGGAGTTTCGTCTCATTTTCTGCCCTGCCTAGCGCTACCTGGGATTGAACCTGGAACCTTCCCGATGCATGTGCCAGTGATCCAGGCCCTCTCCTCTGAGCTACAGCTCCTTCCTCCTGGAACTTGCCCTCGTTGGCACAGTTATCTCTGGAAGCACATCTGTGGGCAGACATTTGGCCCAGCAGCATCTGGGCTGCTGGGCCAACAGGATGAGACTAATCCTGTACCTGATGGGCTCTTCTCCTTACCACGCCTTCTGTCTCTGTCTTAAATTACAGCAGTTGTATGCTGCCCAGCTCGCTGCGATGCAAGTGTCCCCAGGTGGAAAAATACCCGGCATCCCCCAAAGCAACATCGGTGCAGCGGTATCTCCTACCAGCATCCATACTGACAAGAGCACAAGCAGCCCTCCACCCAAAAGCAAGGTACTGCCTTCAGATTTGTCCGTCTGGCTTTCTTGTGTATGTTGCTTGTCAGAAAGATTTCTGTGCTCTGGGATGTGATTCTAGTGTGCTGCATGCCATCCTGAATGTTCTAAATAAACGGTTGGAAGCCCTTCCTTGTACCACTTCCCTGCTTGGAGCGGGGCTTGTTTAGTATACCAGAAATGATGACAAGTCAATAGAGCACCTGATGTTGGGCCTGCCATGCCAGGTCTTGTGGCAGCGAGTTCTGTACATTGATCCTGTACTGCATGAAGTAACGCTTTCTCTTGGCTGCCCTGAAACTTCTACCTGTCATTTTTGGTTGAACGACACTGAATTCTACCCATTATGAGAAAGGAAGACTGTATCTCTGTCCACTTTGGCTGTGCTGGACTCTAACAGGCTTAATTCAATGTATCTTGTGTGTGGGAGTGTGTGTTCTTTCATATAGGGTCATCTTGAGAAGAAAAGGTGCCGGTGTGATACTGAATACTGTATACAGTTTTACTTTCTCTTTGCAGAGTTCCTTACTTAGTTCAGGAGGCCACACAAATGCTGACAATTATTTGCGCTCAGCAACCTGCACACACGCACCTTGATGCTCCCCTAGTTGGATGACTAGCAAGAAGGCATTTTTCCCCAGTGTGCAGTTTATGATGAGTTTCCTTCATGACTTCAAGAACTTTTTTAAAGGGATTCCACCCCCCTCACATGCTGTTGCTCAGGGTCAAAGGAGATAAGAGATTTCTCGCATGTCTTGTCCATCCAGCCACCTGCCTTCCTGCCATGGGTCAGGAAAGTGGCGTGCGGAAGGTGGGATTGCATCTTCCCCAGCACTGTGCTCCCAGTCAAAACCGGAGAGGAGCTTTCCTTCTATTATGAATATCCGGCACTGAGTAAGGAGCTACAATCCCAGCAGGACCACCGTGGAGACAGACTATTAAATACCCCTTCTGCACCACGGTCCTCCTCGCCAGCTATTTTGCCCTTCAAGCATCTTTCATGTCAAGGGCCAGTCACCTGGCTACACCTCGCCATGTGCCAGACATCACCTCTATTCGGTCCCTTATTTTTCAGTGCAGCCCAGTGTTAATAGAAGGCCTATTATATAATATTAGGAGGTGCTGTATTACCTGCTAGTACGGTGTTCCTTCCTTGTAGCACCTGCAGGAACTCACAAGCTTATATGCTAGGAAAGAAGAGGAGGAAGACTTCCGCTGCCAGCATTCTATGTCTTCTTCCTTTTCTACCTTTTTTTTCAGGGGGGGGTGCTTTTCTTAGGTATTACTGTGCCTTTGGCTTACACTTCTGTCAAAGGACACAAACAGAATTTCTCCGTAAATTGAAAGGAGATATATATATATATATGAATGAAGGGGCCCTCCAAAAGGCTGTAAAATTGTGCTGCATGATCCCTGTGAAGCATGCTGTTTTCAATCTGCTGTGTGCCAGTAGGAGACTCAGAGAGAAAGGAGGTGGGGTGAAGGGAAGGGATAATGCTGAGAAATGACAGAGTGGTTGTGACCTCCAAGCTCATGCTGGAAATCCAAGACATTGATTTCACTTAGCATTCCTGCTGAGAAATCCGGCAGAGTTCAGTTGTAATAAAAGAACAAGATTCTGTTCTAATGGTAATGGCGTATGACAGACATATCACTTTGTCTGTCCTCCGCAACACAGAGAGATGGAAAGGGGAAGAAGGGGGGAGGGGGGCACGGCAGGGGGAGAGGTGAATTGGAGAAAGGTCAGCTGATCTGCCTGTGGAGTAGGGTGAGTGTGGTCCCGAGCTTTGAACTGGAGCACGGCAATACATACCATTTATACAAAGCGATCTAAAAGGAACCTTCTCTGGGGTCTCTGATAGTAATTAAAAAAAGCCTTCTGAAAGAGCCCAGAAAAAATGGTGGTGGCAGCTGAGGGGTGTGTGGGGGACGGCGGTGGAGAAAAAGAGGGGCAGGGAAGTCTGCTGAAAGCGATGGTTCTCGCTCCGTATCCGGATGGGTGGAACATCCTTAAGGAGTCAGGGAGACGACTAGGACAGTCTGTCCTGCTTAACTCCACCCGTTCAGTGGAGGGGAGGTTCCTAGGAGGGGAACCTGTGTCTGTGCGAAGGATGAGAAGGACGTTCATTCAGTTTCAATGAACACTTACCTGTTTTTGCACTTTTGAACTTCTGTGAAAACTGAAAATCAGTTCTTCACAATTTTGTGCTTCAGAACTTGCACATCACCATTTCTGCAGCAGAGTTCTCCAGTGAAAAGCATAGCCTGGGAGAAATGCATTATCTTGGGAAAACTGCTTGCAAAAATATCCACATTAGGCAAAAATGCATGTGCTTCAGGAAAGGGACACAAAAACACTCATGATTTTTTTTAAATCAGGAAGCTTGGAATTGACCACATTTAAACTAGAAAATATATCATTGACCTAAGGGGCCTCACCTTGGAAAGTACAGGTTTGGATGTGGCCATCCGTGGCATCAGCCTGGCCCTGATAATAAGAAGTAGTTTTATGAGGACAAAGAAGAGACATGGGGATTTGGGAATGGGTAAATAGTGTTGCTTCTCATGATCTAAAACATAAAATCAAAATGCAATGGAATAGAATAGAATTCAAAAACATATCACCGCATTTTAGCATATTATGTTTTTCTCCCCTCCACGAACACTGATGCACAAGGGGATTCCCTTCTCAACCAACCAGGGAAGAAAACAAATGTGTATGAAATGTAATGTGTGCAATATAGGATTTTATAGCATTAAAGTGCACTTCAGGTCACTGGCTTATTTTAGCTGTTCTCTGCCAAATACCTATCTGGAGTTTTAAAGCCCCTTTTTTCTGCTGTATTGTCAGTTTGTTGGGGAATCTTTGTGTATCTTTGAGATGGAGGAGATTTTATAAAACAGCCCCATGCCAAATTTCCATCTTGGAAGAGTTTTCCTTCACCCCTCAAATGACCTCCAAGAAGCTGTTGTTTCGCTGAATCCCCATCTGCCATCCTTTTCTGCTGGCACAGCATGGGAAAAATATGTCCAAGTCTTCCGAGAGATGGAGGTTTCACCTGAGGCTACCAGAAGGTGTGGGCAAAAGGCTGTCGAGGGAAAAAGAGGGACATTTTTCTTCCGCAGAGCAGGAATTCAAGAGTTAGGGCTTTCTTGCAAGGACTGTTTGAACTCAGGCTGGGGACCGGATCAAACCGTTGCTGGTCCTCAAAGCGCTGAGAGTTACTAGCCAGAACCTGCCAAGGGTCTACCTCTCTCTATCTATATCTGGAGCACATTGCTGAAGTCTCTTAAGACCTTGGCAGTTGCCCTGTTGGCAAACTCTTTATCGGTGGCTCTCACCAGTTGTTTGAACACTGAACTGGGAGGACTGCTTGGCATCTCCTGCTGCTGCTTATTTCTCACAGCAGCCGGCTTAACTTTCCCTCACCTTGAATCTCAGCTCTCAGGATGCCAGATAACAAAATTCTATCTGAAGGTTGTGTTATCGTGGGCCCAGTCAATTCTCTGTTGCAGTGCACCATAGAACTGCCCCCACACACATGCACACCCTTCTGGCAGGGCAGGTATTGCAATGCAGAAATGTCAAAAGCTGCAGTCCTGTGGCTGAGATGGGAGAGGGGAGACGGTTATGTGGAGCTGGCCCTCGAGCTAGGTGTTCCCTCCCAGCAGGATGGACGCTCCAGCACTTCTTGTAAACTTCCTTATTCTACAGAGAAGTCTCTGAGCATGCACAAAGTGAAATGTTGAACCCTCTCTGCCCCACTTCACCCAAAGCTTTGCTTATCAACCCCTCAGGAAGGAGGGATGCTGTGGAATTGGTCACACCTGCATTCTGCACCCCGAGATCCCAGTTGGGCCACCCCGTGGCTGTGATGATGGGCTTTTGGGTCCACCTCCTCAAGAGGCTAAAGTTCTCCATCCAAGAGACTCCCCATCTCTAAATCCCCCCCCTCGGGATGCTGCCATTCCTCGTTCCCACAGGTGGGCTGACTGGGCCCCTCCGCTATTCTTGAAGTGATCCCATCCCAAGCAAGCACAGATGGGTACAGAGAAACTGGGATGGCAGCTGTGTTCATTGCAACAACCATTCCGTCGCCAGAGTCTGTGCTCTCAGTCCTGCCAGGGTCAGCCAACTGCCCTTCATACATCTCATCTTCAGGATCTGAGCAGTCGGCCCAGCCAAAATGGACAGCTTCTTGTGCACACCTGGGAATCTCACCAGAACATGCGCGTGACACTGGAGGCTGAGCTCCCACCCTGCTGCCTTCACCACCAGTGCAGGAAGGATGTGTCTGGCATCTTCTGCGGATGCAGCAGGGCCTTGGAGAGGAGGAAAAGGGGTAAACTGCTGCAGGACAAAGAGAGGAGCTGGGGACGATTGCTCTCAGCACCCCAGCTTCCTTCCTTCACTTTCCCCAAAGAAAATGGCTTCCAGCTAAACTAACACTCCCACACCATACAACAACATCTGGAAAGGGTGGCACGTAAGTCTCAAAGTGAGTTTCTCTTGTGGAAGAGACCACTAAGAAAGGCCTCACCTTTCTGGATACACCCCCCTCCAGAGGGGTTACCCATTTCTGTGGCAGTTTCTGAGCGTATCAAGAGTTTTAGCCCTCCTCTATAGTGTTTGCTCCTGCACTATGATTGGCCCCTGCCCCTGAATTCTCTGTCCGTCCATCCATGTCTCTCTCTCTCTCTCTCTCTCTCTTTCTCTCACTCTCACTCTCACTCACACACACACACACACACACACACACATCTGTGGCCTGTGAATGGGAGCACCACATTGGTAGAGGACATTTCCAATTGGACCTATCCCAAACCTGTTGAAAAAATGGAACTCATAGACTGGACAACACCACTCCAAAGACCTTCTCAGCCCACCAAAGAGGACCCAAAATATCAGATGTGTCCCTCTGAAAGAAGGCAGTTCTTCAGGCATGCAGATATCTAGTCATTTAAGGACTTTCAAAGTCAAAAACCTTCCTGAATTGT